ATTTTTTTTGGGTAGAAGGTTCCGTGGAAAAGGTGGCTGAATTCCACGGGTAAATACTGAGCTGAATGGCTATTCATCAAGGGGAATATATCAATGATCTTTCAAGTAACAAAAGAGGCAAGGAGCACTGTACAAGGTGTGGCATGGGTCAGAGAGTAGCCCAATGTCCTAGATAGTCATAGACTCAAGTAGTACAATAAAAACACACACACACACAAAGTGATGGCAAAGAATTGTAGAGTGGGTTGGATTTGCATAAAACTGAGAGTGACATGAAATCAATTTGTGGCCTTGGTTTAGGCCTTGAAATCCAGGACAATAATTATGTCCCCTGTCAAAATAGGCGCTTACAGGGGTACAACCCCTGAAGCGAACATGCGCCCCAATAAAATCCACTGAAAACTTGAAATCGTGGCACCATAGTAGGAACTGCACATATAGAATGTTCTAGGCCTTGTAGAGCCTTTCTAGGGATTGATACTGTGACCGAAACAGAGTTGGTGATGAAAAAATCGATTTATTAAACTATGTGAGGAGAACAGAAACTCTGGCTACTTGTAACAGGTATTTATAAGAATTTGTTATCCTCGTAAATCTACAGACTAGTGATTTGTCCTTAGGCACAATACTTTTTACCCAGCCACGTATTTCCAAATGTCACTAAGTTGTAATAACGCTCAGCCTCCTGATTAGTAGTACTATTTTGTTAATCTCCATCCCCTCCCCATACAGTCTTATTGTAAGAATTCTCAATATTAAGCTTAGGTCTACTCCTGAGCTCAAATAACGGTCAAACTGTAACAGATACGAGCCTGTGTCATCTTTTTTTTTTTTCTTTTAATTCATAGTGTATTCAGCTATCTAGCTATGACACATCTGATTAGTTTATATATAAATACAAATATTTAGTCCCAATTTCCTTTACTTATCTTCTAGTCTCCTCCCTTTCAGTCAGCTTTGGATGCATTCATGCATCCACTGCTTTGAAGGAAGTGGAGAGTTGCTTCTTTTCCAATTTTTGTATTAAACAATATCTCTAATCTTAATGGCAGTATACCTTAAAAAGCTTCCTTTCTTTCTGTCTTAAACTTACTACAATAAAGAAGTAGGTGTTGAACAGTCTGTTTTCCCTTCCAACAAAAGTTGCAAGAGTTATCCTTCCCTTTTTTAATTCGAAATAAAGGGCCCTGGTATTTCCAATCCCTGTTTGTCACGGATCAAGGAACAGGCGCTGGTGCAACTATGTGGTTGATAGTATGTAAATTATCATTCTGAAGAGAAAACTACTTCAGTCTCTATCTATACTTATATATACATTGTCTATGTGGTTGAGGCACAGTCCCTCCCTCTCGGTTCCAATGGGATTCTTTACATGTGTTGTAGCTGTATGGTCCAATACTGCTGCCCTGCCGAACTAGATGCCGATGCCTTGATATTCTGTTGAGTGGCATCATATATCCACACATTGATGTCGATCAATCGTGCGCTACCAATATCAGGCTAGGCTCATGTTGGCCAACATGCGCTACAGGAACCAATCGGCTTACCAGCCGTTACACTGTTCTTGCTTGTATAAATGAAAATTGTGTCATTCTACTGTAATGACTGAAGTTGTATGGTCTCATTTTGATGATAGGTGATCTTTTCCTGGCTTGCACTTGATAGAGCCTTCCCAGTCCTTTAGCCCTTCTTCCCTCTTCCTGTCTCAAGACTTGGGTCTCCCAGTCATTTTGCCAGGCTTTGAGAGTCAGTTCCTTTGCCTTCTGCTTAAGGTAAGCAATTGTTGTGAATTTATCTCTTTTTTTGACTTTTTTCTTGGCTCCACCTCTTGCCAGATTGTCTGCTAGCTCATTCCCAGCAATACCTTCATGGCCTGGACACTAGTGTAGATGAATTTGATATTTATTGCTTTTTATTCTTATTTGATGTGAAATAAAGTTGCTAGCTTTGCTGACTCTCTGAATTGCTGCTTGACTATCAGAGAAGACCCAGATCTCTCTGGAATATTTATTGGAGATAACATATTTTATAGCTTTCAAAATACAATATGTCTCAGTATCAGAGATTGTCATTGTGTGTCCGAGATTGTAAGAGAAACATTTCACCTGTCTTGTGAATGGCAAGTATACCACAAATCCAAGGCTACTTCCATTGCTAGTTGTTAGGGAACCATCTGTGTATATAATTGATGCATGATTTGGGATGTCTTTTAGCAGAAGAATATGCTCATCCCTTGCTGTATGCTTAGAAGAATCACTTATTTTAGTTGTGTCATCTTACATTGTCTAGTCTTCGGGGGCTGATGATAGTTCTGATTCGGAATCTATCTCGATGTTCTCTATCCAGAGATTCTCATACAAATGACTCGTCTTTAAAGAGCCTCTGTTATTGACAGTTTCGAGGACGCCTCTATTTTTAAGGTTGGAATCGCGATTTTTCATGATTTTGGGTGTACCAGAAACAGTTGGCTTCAGGGACAAGGGTACCTCATGAGCTCTCTTCCGCCTTCCTGGAGGCATTATAAATCGTGTAGTTTTATGATGAGCTTGTGGCTGATCTCATGAAAAAATAATAAAGATGTCCCTGGAGAGACCTGAAAGTTGCCCGTGATCTACAACATAATATGTCGGCTTGTGAGCCGAACTTTGTCCTATGACACGTGATTTTAATCACGTGATATAATAATTCCACAGTTATGTACGCTTTATTCCAGCTAAGTTCAGTTGTAGATGGAGGATTCTAGTTAGTGGTGTTAAAGTTATGAGCTTGAGCGAATATGGAGGTTGTAGCGGAATCAGTGTCGGCGGTTAGACCGATGCAGTAAGTCTCATATGAGGTTGTGAGAGGAAGATCCGAGTGGAAACAATTGTATTTAGTTGTATGGTTCAGAGTAAAAACCGAGATGATAAGAGTGAGATTGCGTGTTCGCATATCTTATCAACTGTGGTTTTTGACCATATTTATCAATCTCCATGGATCGTAAGTTATGATCCATGTAGATGTAGATCTATGTACATACACATATATGGGAGGGCAAGACTGAACACCTGTACGCGGTGTCCTCTACGAACCTGGGAGTGAAATATTCTCCCAGAGCCAAGTTCAGTCAAATTTCGCAATATCAAAGAAGTTGGCCCACGAGGCAAAAATCCAAATTACTCCTCCATGTCGTTATTTCGCACCCAACGAGATTGACTCCTATTTTCGTCTCATCAAGTCTACAAGTACGACCAAGTACATCCTCATCCCGATGACCACACCGCTCTTCGACCTTCTTTGGCCTCAGTTGACCGCCAAATACACGCCCACCCCGATATTTATACCCGACGGAAGAAGCAAAGCGTGGCGCACAAATCTGGAAAAGACAGTTCCTTGAGATGGATGTGAGAGGGATCAGGACAAGTTGATTAGATGATGCAAAGGATGGATCATACTCGACGGGCGTGGAATGTTGAATTTTGGCAAGAGTTTTACGAATTGAGCTTTGTGCGCGCCATGACTTCACTTGCGAGAGTGCAGCTGACACTAAAAACACAAGCAAACGATGAAAGGTGTTGTGGTCCGCCTTCTGGTGGTGTTCTCTGGCATAGTTTGAGTAGCCTGGGCACCTACTCCACTTGGGAAGGAGACACCTCAGATCACATATCGCGCGGAGAAAAGTTGAAAGATGATGGAGGCATGTCTGGATAACCCAGGGTTTTTGAGAGGCTCCCCTGGGTGGGTATTCACGGATGAGGGTTGACTTGGGGTGAAGAAAAAGCCACCATAACTTCGCAGTGGTACTTGCAAATGAAATCCGAGGCATGAGTGCTCTTCTTGTAAATTGAGTCATCTATCATACAATTCTCTGATATTGTGTCATAGCTAGATAGCTGCATACGCAATTAAAATCTGATGCAAAAAAAAAAAAACACATATATGGGCCAGGAATATAAAGCTAAATACATGTGTATCGGTAATAGATACGAGAAAACTATAACCTGCATTTAAGACATAGTCATCCGCTGGAATTCTAGTGTGAAATAAACGCTAATACGCATTAAACTTTCGGTGAATGATGTATTGATAACAGTGATATAGAATGGGGAATTTGATAGTCAAACTAGCCGGAGTTACTAATAAGTTATTCTTGGCATTCCAAAATATATCACATTTCAACAAGTGGTAGCAAGACTAGAAATTCCTCTCAGTAGAACTTGCTGTTGTGATATAACGATGTTCAATCTGCGGACTTTGTAGTGTGTAGTTATTACATCTCACGTGATGTAACACGGGAGCGTAGTAAAAGAGAGGAAAGCTCACTAGCCAAATCTAAGCGATTACGGGCACACGTAGAATTATAACACATTGTATGTAGATAGACATAACAAGTATCTATTATCACTAATTGAATCATCTTCCACACAATTGAGACCCATAGAATTGCCAAACTTTCATACAACCCTCAATTGTATTGTCGCAAGTGCATCTGCATCGAGCCACCGCTGCATTCTAGAATACGCTCTCTAACTGTGATAAGTTACACCGTCAGGTCTAGCAAACAATTTCAATACATGCAAGAAGCGTATATCAGCCAAGAAAAAATAATTCTGCATATTTTCATAAATATATATAAAGAAGTAATACTTTGATAGTTAGACAGAGAAAATTATAGACAACCTTTGCACATTTGATCGCTCTAGCATCTATACTCGAACCGTGACACATGACTACTGTTTATACGTGTTTCCTGGACAGAATTAGACAAGTATTGAGATAAATGTTAACCATCAACCGTTATTACTACTATGTAAACCTTGTGATACAAATAACACCTGAGTATCACGGCACCATTTATTCCGACCAATATCAAAAATTCACAAGATAATTCACCCTGCGATTTTTTAGCTAAGCAATACTGTATCTCAAGATCAACTACCTTTTGATCAGGTGGAATTCTATCACATGAAATTCCCCGTTGTAGGAAATTCTGATTACGGAAAGTTAGCCGAGCTAAGTCGTTAGGCAGAAGATTTTTGATATTCGCGGAAATGATGATCTAAGTAATCCTTAGACTTCTTGTTATAGTATGGGAAAGTCTTTTTCCCATCAAGCTGATAACCAGAAGGATTCTGCCGGAGAAATCTCTTGGTGTGATTGCTGTGTGAGGTTTCGTTCACAGCGGGAGTCAAAATTCTTGGTTCTGATAGCTTTGGGACGGATTCAGCCTTCTTCCCGAATTTATCCGTGGTAAACGTCGAAATTTTCTCGAGGACGTTTTCTATGGTTTCTATACGAAAAATTAGATTCCTGTTTCTATCGCCAACGGTCTATTCAGTGAGACAGTTACCCCTCATTTTTTCGGACAAAGCATCAACTTTACCCTGGAAACGGTATCCGTCAAGCTTTTCCAAAAATTTCGTGCCAGTAGTCTTTTTATTCGTCCTTCGAACAACGTACGACCCAGTTGGTACAGCAATGAAGCCGGAGATCATCAGAGCGAGAATGAAGAAGAAGAATCGCATTTTAAGGGATTCTTGTTCGAAAGTAAATTTTGAGGAAAAGTTTATTGAAGAGAAATGATATGATTGAGAAGATATTCGATAGGTTTGATATGGTTCTGGAAGATGAGTGAGTAGGATACTTTTATAACCTTACTCATCCCATTTTTCCTCGTTAAAAGTTTTTACTCCTTCTCCCCACTCTGAATACAAATGGCTAGAGTAGAGATCTAACGAAATAAGCCAGCTCTTAGTGGAAATCTCATTCGACCGGAGAAGAAATTGCCGGATAAAAATGATTTTAAGAAATGTGACTTTGGCTGGGATGAGCGATTGCAGAAGGATTTGTTCGCCCTAATCCATTGTATAGGTGGCAATAACTGCTGTTGGCTAACGTTCTAGTCCCGCCGTGAAGTTAGACAAAGATAGCTCGAGGAACGTGACAAATATCCCCCACTCATAAAACTGATTTCGTATCCAAAATTTATTTTTCTGTGGGGTACACACAGGGCGCACAGCAAATTTGAGAATATTTGGGTTGTTGCTTGAGCCGTAAGGGAATAAACATTCAGATGTTTTTAATGTGGCGCTGCCGAACTGGGATCCTATGACTCGTGGCGTAAAAGGTAAGAACGATCGTATTGAAATCTCAAAAATTAGGAGATGTGGAAAAGAGGAGAGCTTGGGGATCTAGGCTACTAACAGATAACCCCACCTCTATTAGAGCTCATCACATGAACACATAAGGTTGCATCTTCATTCTCGTGTGACATTCATAGGTGAAGACAAAATCAGTGGATAGTTGTTGTCGTAAGTAATAGTAAGGCAACTATCTATGTTAACGACAAAATTATATTCATATTGATAATCGCATGATCTTGGCCAAATTCCCGTGGCTCTACCTGGGGTTGCATTCGTAGAAGATAAGGAATATAACACGCAGCTTTACTGAGTATGTAGCTCTCAAATTCATCCTGAATTCCATACTTTGGTAAGGACCGAATCGCTACGTCTCTCTCTCATCATGCTGGAATGTTACCAACTTATTCACCTTTGGATTTAAGACGTAGATGTGATGGGGATAGTGGTTGGATAAGTGCGTCATGGCTATGACATACCACGAAAGTGAATTGGACGTTTGGGATATTCTGAATCAGCCAGCAACGATTTTTTTCAATAAATTAGCGTCGTACTGGCGCACAACACCTGACTTCAGGGCTAAGCTCCGGTTAACTCAGGCTGTAAAGACGACCAGACGTTTCAGCGCCCAAAAAGAGCCCAGAAAATTGCAATAGAATTGGTGGATTGACTGCCTCTGTCAATCTTCTAGGTGTTACCTTCCCATTCTTGAGTCCTTCATTTTAACCACTTCCTAGGCTTCCACGGCCCAGCATCTCTCCTATATTCTCTCGCAGGCTTCGATTCCTTCATAGATCATTCATACCTAATAATCCAGGTTTGACTTCCTCCGAGAATTCCTCGTCGACAACAGTGTTGAAAGAATGGGTGGCGGGTCGTGTTTTAGCTTTTTTTGGCATTAAATAAGGACTTTTAAACCGTTTTATTGTATCGAGTGGGAGTGCGATTATCAGCTTAAGCTGATGTCGACTTGAATAGTCCTGATAATTTTTATGTGATTTATATAATCGAGAAATCTCTGGAATTCTGAAGTTCCAACCAAAATCAGCCTGGCATTGCTCCTTCTGATAAGACTCTTATTCAGGTAAAAAATTATTCAACCGTTGGGGGATGGCTAGATCTTGGCTCTAGGGGGGAATATTTCACTCCCAGTCTCGTGAAAGACACCACTAGCAGATGTTCGGTTTTTTCCTCCGTGCCAGCGACATAATTGATTTGAATTTGAAATCTTTTACATGACTGGACGGGCCCAACATCTTTTAAGACGTGACACGGGTGGATGGGCTAGAGGGCAAGACTGAACACCTGTACGCGCTGTCCTCTACAAACCTGGGAGTGAACTATTCTCCCAGAGCCAAGTTTAGTCAAATTTCGCAATATCAAAGAAGTTGGCCCACGAGGCAATGATTCAAAATACTCCACCATGTCAATTTTTGACTCCCAAAGAGTCCGACTCATACCTAAGCCTCATTAAGGTTTACAGGCAGGACCAAGTACATCTTCATTCCAATGACTACACCTCTCGTCGACTATTCTCTGGCCTCAGCTCGTCGCCAAATATACGCCCACGCCGATATTTACACCAGACGGAGGAAACAAAGCGTGATGCAAACACAAGTAAGAAGCGAGCACATTGTTATCAATACCTACTTATACTGAAGGAATTTACCAGGAGTAGAAAACCCACGATGCCAATGTGGATATCTGTCCCAAAACATAGAGCACGTGGTGATGTCTTGTCCAAGATGGGCAAAGGAAAGAGGCGAGCTGCTACGAAAATCGACAACCCTATCCTTCGAAGCTATGGTAAGTAACATCAAAGATATGACTAAAATTGTACTGTGGATTCAAAAGGAAGAATGGCCAGAGCAGTTTCGGATGACTGTAGAGATCGAGACGTTAATAAGGCGGAGAGAGGAAAATGGATACACAGGACAAGGACGGAATACACACTGGCAACAATAGTATGAGTGCACTTCCTATAGGTAAGACTGTTATAGCGTAAAATCCAACCAGACAGTTAAGGGGGGTTTTACTGCAAGGTTTCTTCCTGTGAAAATTAGAGAGTTTGATAGACTCCTACAAGGATCCATAGGGCGCAAAATCGGGCTAAATTAAATAAAAGAAAAGCTTGGTGCACAAATCTGGGGGACAGCTCTTTTTTTTTGTTCATTAACATGCGAGGTATAGTGATTCCCGTTGCACTCCTACTGGAGCTTAAGCACGGGTGGAGCCGGACCGGATCAGATTAACTACCGTAAAGTACAAGTGCCTCGTCCCACTTCAATGACCGGACCACCTTAGACTTGACGCATGTGTTAAATCATACCAAGCCTAACCGTCCAGAAACCCGCTGTATACACGCCATGGCGCAATTTCCTCCTCAGCCTCGGCCACCACGCGCCCGAACATTTGAAATCCTCATTGACTCCGAAATATAAATGCCGTCCAAGATCTCATCGTTGCTCTAGCCTTGCACCTTCATATCGTAACGTTGGGTTGTTTTCGTCATTGGAGATTTATGTAATCCCCTCGGTGTATCTTTCCCTTTCTTCCTCCTTTGCACACGTCCCATTTCTATCATGACTTTCCTCATTAGGGCGTGTGTAGTTAGGTGACTTGAAGAGTATAGAGGTGGGTCACAGGTATAGGATCGACTGAGAATTGCTTCGTCGGAAATATAAAAGGAGTTTGAGAGATGTAGGATGTTTGAATACGACTCCCAGACAGACCCAAATCCATTCGTGAATTGTATGTTAGTGGTGATGAGTTTTTGTTCAACTTTGTTCCGGCTGTGAAGTCTCTGCCGACTGATTTTTCAACCAAAATATCGAGTGCAACTCCTTCAAGTCGAAAATCCATCAAATAAAATTCATCCCACCCTTTTTCGTGACTGAATCTCGGCTCTGGGAGAATATTTCACTCCCAGGTTCGTAGAGGGCACCACTGGCAGGTGTTCAGCCTTCGCCCTCTCGAAGGTCGGTCTTGGAGATTTCCTTATAATTTATCTCTTTATTTAATATTGACTGGTCGGATATCCAGTTTGGTAACTCTGCCTCAGGCTAGAGTATTCAGGCCATAACATCTAGCGCCTTTTTATCAATCATTTAATGTTTTTGCAGCTTTAAAGCTATGACACATAGCCAGTACTATGTATACATGTTGGATGACTCTTTTGACGTTAAAGACACTCATATTCTGGATTTCATTCGCAAATACCACTATGAGATATGTTTGCTTACACAAACAGTAGACCCTCCTTTGTGAGTACCCACCAAAGGGAATTTAAAAACCTTTGATTATCCAAGCATGCCTTCATCATTCATATGTACCTGCACCTCGAAAAATGAAGTTGTGCTTTTGCCGGATTTGAACAAGCGATCTACTGTCTCCAGTGGGATATGTGTCCAAGCTATCCAGACTCTACTTGGCAGACCGGCCAAGACAATGTACCACGGCACCATCCAGCCATGGCGGTGTTAATATTGTCGCTTGCACTCTCACAACAAAAGGCTTGGCACGCACAAAGCTCAATTTTTAAAAACTCCTTGCCAAAATTCGAAATTTCACGCCCGTCGAGGTAATATCCTTCCTTTGCATCATCTTGTAAACTTGTCCTGATTCCTCTCACGTTCATCCCAAAGAGCTATCTCCCAAAACTGTGCTCCACGCTTTGCTTCCTCCGTCGGGTGTAAATATCGGCGTGGGTGTGTATTTGGTGACCAGCTGAGGCCAGAGAAATTCGACAAGAGGTGTAGTCATTGAAACGAGGATTTACTTAGTCGTACCTATAGACTTGATGAGGCTTAAGTAGGATTCGATATTGTGAAGTATTTTGAATCATTGCCTCGTGGGCCAACTTGTTCGATGTTGCGAATTTTGACCGAACTTGGCTCTGAAAGAATAGTTCACTCCCAGGTTCGTAGAGGACACCGCGTACAGGTATTCAGTCTTGCCCTCCTACTTTGGGCTCTTGTCAGTGCTTTTATGTTTCACTAGAACAACCGTCACAATTCTCTATAGATCCTGAGAGACTTTGATCTGCTTACGACGGATGGTGTGTAAAACCTGCCAATTGTAGCGTATTTTAAATTCACAGTTATGATGCTAATTTAGTGATAAATATCCGTCTGGTTGACTTAATCCATGTTTCAATCTCTATAATAAACTCAAACTCAACTGAAGCTAGAAACCAAGAAATACTAGAAGAGAAATTCTGTGACATATAAGACTGAGCTTAATGCTTCCCGACAAGATAGAATCAACAGCAGTTGGGAAATTTCTGTGGTCAGTACGACGAAGTTAGGATGGCGTTTTGTTTAAAACGCCGGTAGCAGTTTGCCAGATCGCTTTGCCGAGGACGTGCAGCTAGCAGGTATCCTAAATTCCGTCATTCTAGATGAGCTGGTTCAATGGTAGTACTAGTATTCCAGGCGATGCCTATTTCAAACTAACGGTGGAATCGTCTGACTTAATGGACACATAAAATTTTGTACATTCCTTACGTCGTCACGATACAACAAGCAGAGTGCAGGCGACACTATTAACACCGCCATGGTTAGATGGTGCGGTGGTAAATCGTCTTGGCCGGTCTGCCAAGTAGAGTCTGGATAGCTTGGACACATATCCCACTGGAGACAGTCGATAGCTGGTTCAAATCCGGCAAAACACAACCACATTTCTTGCGGCGCTGGTATGCATGGATGACGAAGGCATGCTTGGATAGCCAAAGGTTTCGAAATTCCCTTTGGTGGGTACTTACGGAGGAGGGTTGACTGTTTGTGTAAGCGAACATACCTCATAGTGGTATTTGCGAATGAAATCCAGAGTATGAGTGTCTCTAACGTCAAAAGAGTCATCCCACATGTATACATAGCACCGGTCATGTGTCATAGCTTGACAGCTGAATATACATTAAATGGTTTTTTAAAAAAAAAAGAAAAAAGATACAACAAACACACGCTAAACTGGATTAAGCATTGGTTGTTTGTGAACTGGCACGAAATAAGCTTCAGTGCCTCTGGGATATAAAATATTAACCTCGAAACTGGGATGTTTAAGGGATTAGCCCTGTAGGCGCAGTTGAGCTAACTCGCAATAGGTTAGACTGTCTCTCCTCCTTACCCCCCTCGCCATGAAGTATGGTCCAATCGTCTTCTACTAACATTCGGTTAGAAAAACACAATTTCAACGACATGTTTGGTTGCCTAATCTACACAGTCCTTGAATCTTAACACCACTATCAATTCATCCTCTGTTCCAGCAAACAACGTCTCTCGAAAAGTCTGCTCCAGAAACTAAAGTTCGCAAGCATCTAACTCGCGATCAATGTATTGAAATAAGAACATAAAGAAGACTTGGCTTGACATTACAACATATATCTGACGAACTTAGCTTCACAAGAAGGCAAGTGCAACTTACGTGTGCTCGAGAGACAGAGAATCCTAAGCCTCGCAAAAAATGCTTATCTAAATTAAGCGCGGAACAAGTTGATGAGCTTGAGGCTTTCGTCCAGGAATTTCCAGAAAATCGACAGATGTGCTTTTTGGAACTAGCAATGGGACCTTTCAGCTACTGGGGATGAAGTGAGGGTTTAATTTCTAATGCCCTCAATAAAATAGGATACAGCAGATGCATTGCTCGGAAGAAGCTTCCGTTAAGTGTGGTTAACATGTAAGAAAGATGGATAGCGGTGATAAAGGAAAATGGAGGGTTCACAAAGTATTGGGATGGAGCAGAATTATACAAAACATGAAGTACGCTTTCATTTTAGTTGCGAGCCATACTGAGGGCTTCGATGTACACTTTTGTAATACAGAGCAATTATTTTTGAAATAGATGTGTATTTTTAGATAATATCAATTGATTTTTTTTTAAATTTAATTTTAAATGAGGACCATTGTACTTTTCATTTAGAGTTGAAGACCATCTCCGTAATTTAGACTTTCACGGAATATCATTGGATAGTACCCCTGCTTGCAAAACTTGTCGACGAACTAGACATGGGCCTGCATGAAGGCCATACCAATTAAGGCAATATGTACAGGGATCTAACCCCAGTCATTGGGACAATTGTACTTTTGATACCCTTAAGAGACTGTAGAGAACAGAATCGAGTCCAAACAAAAGACTTTCTCTCTTGAAATTATTTGACGATAAAACCATCGTTCTAATTTTCACTCTAGTTGAATATCACCGCCCTGAAAGCAATGATATTACAACTAGACATGAACTTTACCATGCTTGGTTACTTAAAAAACACTACATTCAACTTTACATAGATCGGTCTGTCGCACTCTATCTCCTTCAAGACTTTTATCATGAACCATTTTATCAACAAAATAAAATAGCTAAGAAACTAAGCCAGCCATGAAAGTGGCATTCACTTAAAGAATCTTCTGACATTTTCGATTTCATCAAAACTACCCATAAAAATACCCGACTTATCATGAATATCTTGCGGTACGACATCCATCATTCGCTCCATTCTACTATTGATTGCTTGTCCACCAGCTGTTAAGTTAATTAGCGAATTAAGATCTCAGCCTGCAGGATATTACTTTAACATACCATTTTCAAAGACCATGGCCATAGGCGCGCATTCGTATAAAATTCGTAGCTTACCCTTGGGACATTTTTTATCAACTGGATAGGCAAAAATTCCACCATAGAGCAAAGTACGATATGCATCCGCAACCATACTCCCAATGTACCTCGCAGAATATGGTTTCGCACCCTCTTCCTCAGGGAATTTGAGCGACTCGAAATACTTACGAACAGGCTCATCCCAATATAAGGTGTTTCCTTCATTCACTGAGTATATTGCTCGAGATCTAGGAATTGTCATTTCTGGGTGCGTGAGGATAAATTCTCCCAGAGAATTATCCATGGTGAAGCCGTAGACACTGCCACCTTTCATTGTTATAACCAACTGAGCAGAAGCACCATACATTGTAAATCCAGAAGCAATCAACTCTGTGCCCGGTTTCAAGAGATCTTCTTTTGTGCGTTTTGAGCCTTGATCGAGTTTGTGGATCCCGAATATCGTACCAACAGAAACACCAGCATCCAAGTTGGATGAACCATCTATAGGATCACAAGCTACTGCGTACCTAGCACCAGGGTGTTCTGGAAAAAATATAGCGTTTTCTTCTTCCTCTGAAACAAGCACAGCACACTTTCCCGAAGATCTCATCGCGGCTATGAAAAGTTCATTTCCGATGACATCTAGTTTTTTTTGGTCGTCACCTGTGACATTACTCGAGCCAGCGAGACCGTTTAGATTAGTAAGGGTAGCGCGGCGGATGTAATATGCAATTGATTTAAAAGAAAACTGGAGAGCATGGCAAAGCAGACTGCAGAGAAAAGTTAGCAGTTTCATATTATGAAATAATTTCCCTGTAACAAACGTGAAATCTCCTGTTGCCTCTTTTTGTTTAGCCTGACCCTCTGTCAAGAATCTAGTGAGGGTCACGATGTCTGGATTTATATTCTCAGTTCTACCTTGACCACTGCTGGTGAGCATCATGGAGTATATGAGGATAAAGGCAGAGGCTATGAAGAGAAATTAGTCAGAATAAGTGATTATAGTGAAAAGGTACTTGCTACAGTCACTGAATTTGTACTATGGTGTAAGTTTTATGGTTGAAGATTAGATACAAAGCTCTAGGAGAAAAGCAGTAAAATTAAACCAAGCCGTGCATATTAGGTGACACGAGTGCCTCTCAGTTCTCGAGACGTGAAGAGACATTCGTGCAAATGATCCAATGCAGTGAAAGACTCAAGGAATATAGAAAGCGATAACCATGTTCCTACATCACAAGAACAGTGAGCCTCGTCCCTCACAAATCACATGGTAAGTAATCTACATTTGGCACTGTTCCTTGATTAAACCTGTTGAGATCTGGGACCAATAGCCAATCAGGACACTAAAATGGAAATTTATCGTCGTCAGTTACCCCATGACTTGTGTCCAGAGCTCCATTAAAGGATATTCAAAATGTGAGAAAGACGTAATCTGTCAAAATATGAGATTAGGTCGTTTAGCTTAATGGCATACCCATTAAGCAATATTCCTCATGGATCCTGGCAGTCTTGCCTTCTACAACAATGTAAAGATAGAAGTAGTCGACCGATTGAGAGAAATACGTAGCCTTTATTAAGCAGACCTTAAAGAATTAATGGTGTAAAACTGCTGGTGTAGAGTGCATTTTTTTATTTTTTTTAAGGCGAATAGATGTGGTGGAGGAGGGGTGCAGGTTTTCGCTGTGTTTCCACTAAAATGACATCAGCGAGGGTAGCCCAATGCATGAAGGGGCCACCAATTAGCAAACTCTCTCTAGTTTTTAACCAACTGAGAAAGGATCTGACCTCTGTCTGAGTCATGCGACATAGGATCCTAGTGATGATCAGAACTAATTAGCTTAACACGAGCTTGTGGATACTAGTCGATAATTGAGACTGTTATCACTGGGGACTCACGATATCAGATTCACGGGGTGATCAATATCGGAGTCTAAGTTAAGCTGATGGTTGTCTATCCTTTCCCCTATCGACTACTGTGCTCTGTATAAGATGGCAAGACTGAACACCTGTACGCGCTGTCCTCTATGAACCTAGGAGTGAAGTATTTTCCCATGGCCAAGTTCAGTCAAATCTCGCAATATCAAAGACGGTTGGCCCACGAGGCAATGATTCAAAATACTCCACCTCGTCAATTTTCACTTCCAACGAGATCAACTCCTACCTAGGTCTCAATTAGTCTACAACTGTTGTGGTTATGAGCTATGCGGAAGTCACATTGCGGAGTGATGAGGAGTGGATGATGTTATAATTTGTGGTTGACAGTGAGTAGCCTCATACAATACTATGCTGTAGGTATATGGACAGAAAGTATAAGACTAAACCTGTGTCCATTTATTGTGGGTACATCTATGAAACTATATACATGCTCGCCTAACCAGTACACTAGTGATGTATGCTGTGGCCTTGAGCCACACGCAATGCCCTAGCCTCGACTACCTCGTTGTCTCATATCATAACAACAACTACGACCCAGTATATCCTCGTCCCAATGACCACATCTCTCGTCGACTTTCTCTGGCCTCAGATAGTAATCAATACACGCCCACGCCGATTTTTATACTCGATGAAGGAAAAAGAGCGTGGCGTGCAAATCTGGGAGACAATTCTTTGATATGGGAGTGAGAGGGATCTGGAGAAGTCTCAGACCGCAATTCGGGGGGAGATTTGTCAATGGAAGTATGTCTGGAGAACTCGGGGCTTTAGGGAGTTCTCCCTGGGTGTTGCGGGACTAAGAGCTAGTGTCATAGACTAGAACATATGTATAGATATCTCTTGTAGTTAGACTTCTCTTCCCTTACTACCGAACAATACTGTTATATTCTCTTCCCTTTATTACCTGACCTGTGAGCCACCGTGACATTGGGCGGGTATTTACTGATGAGGTTTGACTTGGGGTGAAAAAAAAAATTACAACCTCGCAGAAATAATTGGAGATGAAATCCGAGGCATGAGTGCTCTTTCTTTTTTTGATTTCGTCATCTATTATGTGCTTTCTTTCTGATATTTTGTTATGGCTAGATAGCCGCATACGCAATGAAAATCTATTACAAAATCTACCTTTGGTGAGATCTATGAGCGGGTGGGAAACACTACTGATTGTTTATAGATCCTAACAGTCGTTCAGTAATATACACGTTTACCCGTATGCAATTGATCTATCAATGAAGTGTTGGTTTTCCTTAGATGTTGGAGTGTCAGCCTTAGGGACAACACGGCGAGCTGCACTAAGCCACGTGACTAACTATCAATACATTGTTATTATATGTTGGCACATGTGTTGTAATGGAAGTTGTACAGAGCGGCGTAAGCTGTTAGGCTCGTATTTAATATCACCCAATGAAGCGAGTTGGGAGATTGAAGAGTCTGAAAATTATAGTGGGGAGTTGTTAATTAAACCCTCTCAGTATCAGAGCGCTATTTAAACTAATTACTACAGCTAAGCGAAGGACACGATTCGCTAGCTTATGCTAGATAACTGGGAGGCTGGTCAACGTATGAGTCGTCATGAGTGAGTGAGTGGTTGTTTATTGCCCTAAAAAGTCTATAACTATGTAAGGACATGTAGGTCCTTTCTGCCTACAGGCCGGGAGTATCTATGCCTCTGGTAGTGTACTCCCTCCTTTGCCTCCCTCACGACTTCTTTCCAGCAGAAATATTCCCACAGGTCTTCATTCGAGTACACACTAAGAGGAGCCGTTATCCCGTCATTATCTCCCCTCTCCAGCCAAAAAGACGATGGCCATTTGCGGGTGTATGGCTGCAGGGAAAATTCTCAAAAACCACTGGGTGCGAGGCTCTCCTATTACGAAGAGGCCGGCCAGCCGGGCGCAGCAGACCTGTGTATACCTAAGAGTGTCTCTCAACCTTCCTAGCCTACTCCTTACTCCTCCCTTGATTCATGCCGCAGGACAAACCGAAGGTCGTGAAAGGATATCAGAAAAGTCTTGGTCGAAAGTGACTGTCGTGAAGGAGCCTAGTCTAGCATCCAAAAGTCGTTACAGACGTGGGGTTATCGAGTAACTCATGTATTTCAGATGCCCTCCTGGCTAGTAGATTCGGAGGTATAGATTAGTAGGGACGATACTGTTGACGAGTCGAAATCTGCTTTTCTTGAGGGTGGAAAGGTCTTTTACTTTGCTTTCGTGGGCTTTTTGTTCGCCCGCCGGTGGGTAGCACATGTTGTGATATAACGAGGGCTTCTCTGACTACCGTTGTAGCGTTTGGTACTGCATTATCTTTCCTCATTCCCAGCATCATTATTATCGTCTTGGTCGTCTTGTGTGTTATCGGAAGCGCATCTTTGACAGAGGGGGAGATAACTCAGCTCAGAGTTGATAAGGTGTTACTCAATCTCGGCTCTGCAGACTCTACGGTGAGAGCTGGAGGTTCGTAGTGGACAACACCGACAGGTGTTGAGAATAGTCCCCCTGAGTCGTCATGAACATCCTAGTAATATCCGAACCTTATTACATTCCATGCTTATGCGACTCTTCATTGCCAAGTAGCGCCAATTTCAACATCATGTACACGCCAAAATAGTGTTACGAAACTAACTCTACTTAATGACGATTAATCGATAAATCGTGTCACATTCAGGATCCCAAAGCGCAGACAATCAGAAGCTGGGGACGAGGTACGAGCGCTGTCTTACCACTAGTGGAGGAAGACGAGATCGCCACTAAGGATAATAGCACAGGATGTTTACAAAGCGTATTTTTTTGCATCAGATCTGAATTGTGTATGCAGTTAGCTAGCTATCTATGACACAATATCAGAGAAAAAGTACAGAGCAGACGAGTCAATTTAAAAATAAAGCACTCATACCTCGGATTTCAATTTCTAGTATTTCTACGAAGCTATGGCGGCTTTTTCTTCACTCCAAGTCGAGCCTCATCCGTGAATATCCATCCAAGGGAACGTCTCAAAAACCCTGAGTTCTCCAGACATACCTCCATTAACAAATCTCCGCGCAAATTGTGGTCTGAGACTTCCTCTCCCAAGTGAAGTAGATGCCCAGACTACTCAACCCATACCGGAGAACACCACCAGGAGGTGAACAATAGCACCTTCCATCGTTGGCTTGTTTCTAGAGTTTCAACTGCACTCTCGCGGTTGAAGGCTTGACGCAAACGATGCTCTATAATTTAAAACTCAAGGACTAAAATCGAAATTTCACGCGTTAAGACTATATCTTTCCTTTGCATCATCTTGAAAGCTTGGCTCTGTGAATATTTCACTTCAATTTTCTTACTGAACACCACAGAAAGATATTATGTCTTGTTCTCTACATGAACTCGTCACGTATTGGAATTATTGCAGACAAGAAATAGGAGTCTGAGTTAGGATTATGTAATCAGCCCGTACTATGCTTGGGAAGTGCAACTTGTAACAACTAGACTAAAGAGATAAAAAACAATATGCGTGTTGTGTATAGGCACATAGTTTTAACGACAGTTACAGTTACAAGTTGGAATAATTGGAGCTATCAAGCAGACGACGTTATTGGTGCGCATGTGACAACAAGTCATACACCTCGTTCCACTTCGACATTTACTTGAATGAACGCGCTCTATAACTGTCGGAATACTCGGGTGGTATCTATATCACGAGCTTTCTGTAGCAGTAATAACAATTGTTGGTTAACATATATCTTCTCATCTTTTAACTAAAGGAAACACGTACATACGGCAGTTGTCCCTCTCTCCTGACGCCATTCCTAAACAGGTAATCCATTACTCATCAACATAATTAGTCGTCATTTCTAGGATAATACATGAAAGGTAATTAAGTCATTAGGTCATTCGACAATAACCTTTTGACTGAGACATCATTATTTTCCTTACATTATTTTTTATGGTCTTCCGAACTTTTATTTCAGCTACAGCTCCATCTGTTAGAGGACGCGGTGACTGTTTATTTGTTTCCTAAATAGTTTGAGTGAAT